CCCGGGGAGGCGGGACTTAAGGGACCCTGCATCCTCTTGCTCCTGAGACCCCTCAGCCTCGCCCCCGCCTCGGTCTTTCTTCGGTGCCCTCAGCGCCTTGGCGTCCCCAAACCTACCTGGGTGTGCGAACTCCACCCTATCAACTCGAATCCTGGTTTCCTCCCCCACCTTGGTGTCAGCCACAAAACCCACATGCCCCTAACCACAGCTCCACCGCAGGCTCTCCAGTCCTTAGCCCAACCTTAGCACCCCCCCCCCCAACATCACAACCCTCCTCCTTTCACTCTCACAGCTCTCCCCATCTTCGCTCCCTGAGGCATTCAACGTGGGCGAGAAAGAGGAGCCGAGGCCTCCGTGGGAGGGGCTAAATTCAGCTGTCAGAGCCTTAGACGAGAAACACTTTTAGACAACTTTTGAACATTTATTTCTCCAGCAGGATAGTTAACTCGTAAAATAGCAGAAGTTGGTAGACCTGGGGTAACTTGTGATCATTATTGCCACTTAAGGGGCATTTGGAGCAATTGACAGTGGCTGGACTTCTAACGAAACACCTTCTCCCGTCAAAATCCAATTCACTTTCCCTGTGGGTTTCCCTTCCTTCCTCTCTTCCTGTCTTCTTGTAGAATGCCTATGCCTTCCTCTAACTGCCTACTTGGGAAAGGAGGGAACGCGATGACAAGACGAGATCTGATGTTAGAAGATCAGGTTTGAGTCTCAGCTCTTCCACTGACAAAATCGAGACGTGGGGCAGGTCGCTTCTCTATGTTGAGCCTTTGTTTTCGAAAATGTAAAATGAATTACAATGTAGCATTCCCTGCCCTCTACTATCATACAGTTGTTGTGTTTGGTTAAGTAAAATAAGTTTATGATAGTATTATGCAAATATTTATTATGATTGCTGGCCCCACAAAGGAGGAACTAATGAGAATGCGGTCCATTCTGAGAAAACGATAAGTTCTGGTATTTGCATAAAGTGTTTTTGCAGATTGTCCTTCCCCCAAATTTCCAACAAGATGATATCATTGTCTGTATCTTGTGTCTAATGCGATAGAATGGGTGTATTGAAGACTCGGTCCTTCACAATTCTGTGGTAAATAGCTCATTCATTTATTCATTTACTGTAACTAAGATATTTAGGTAGAAATTGTTTAACATCAGTCAAGGAAACATTTTAATTTCATTTAAAATTTTAATTTCGACTGTCAGAAATTGAAATAGTCTTACTCAACGAGTTAAGATTTCAGACTTTGTATAAGAATGTAAGTGGGAATAGACGTTACCTTTTGTTTATTTATTTTTCTCATTGACTTTATTGGTACATTTTAGGTATATAGTACAGTTACATTCATCATTGGGATTTTGTACCTTTACATGACAGGTCTTCTCATTTGACATTAGCTTTTATACTTCTCAATAACTCTTAATTAGTTTGGACTAAGTAGTTTGCCACTTTGAAATTGATGTAGTTCGTGTTTTCAGCAGGAGAGTTGCTAACAGGTAGCGTTAGCCTCCAGTGAAACCTCTTGGATTCATTATTAAGCTATTGAGTCAAGTTTAGCATCTTGGGCTGGCTTATATCTCAGTGGTACCGCAACTGCTTAGCATATTCAATGCCCTAAATTCAATCCCCAGCACTTGGGGTGAGGAAGCTGGGCAGCTTGTTCCAGCTTCTGATAAAATGAGATCATAATAATGCTATTTTCATAAATTTCCTGTGCTCTAAAAATGTCCTTGAGGTGTTGTGACTCAGAGTTAGAGTCAAATAATAATAAAAAAACAATTAAAGAAAGAATTAATGTTTCTTCTGCTCTCATCTGAACTAGTTCTAGATCCAGAAGACTTTTTAATTAACTGTGGATTCCCCCCCGCTTTTATCCCTACTTTTGCAGTATGGCCAGAGTTATGCTATTATTTTGCCACTTCAATTATATTAGCTCTTCCCTTAAATATCTTCCTAATCCATCTTTGTTTCGCTTTGGTATGGGGATCGAACCCAGGCTTTGACACGTTAAGCACACACTCTTAACACTGAGCTACACCTCCAGCTCCGAAATACATTTTATATTTATTAGCTCCTACAATTAACTTGTTAGGGCTTTATATTACAGTAGTAATTGTAAAACTTAACCTATTTTGGGGGGAAATTTTTTATTAAGGTATAATTTACATGCCATGAAACTCACCCTTTTAAAATGTACAGTTCAGTGGATGTTAGTATATGCACAGGGTTGTGGAATACCCCTATGTTAGCTTTCTGTTGTGATAACATACCTCAAGATGGACTTAAAGGATAAAAGCTTTATTTTGGCTCATGGTTTTGGAAGTCTCAGTGCATAATTTCTTGGCCTCTTTGCTTTGGGCTTGTAGCAAGGAATCATGGTGGAAGCATGCTATAGAGCAAAGTTACGTCTTGGCACCTAGGAAAGAGAGAGAGGAGAGAAGGAGAGAGGGAAGGAGGGAGAGAGGGAGAAAGGGGAGAGAGGTGGAGGAGGGAGGGAGGGAGACAGAGGGAGGGAGGAAGGGAGGGACGGGGAGAGAGACTAGCAACTGCTAGGCTACTTTCTCTCTCTGTGGATTTGCCTATGTGGACATTTCATATAAATGGGATAACACAGTATTGAACCTTTGGGGTCTGGCTTCTTTTATTATGTTTTCAGGGGTATCCATGCTAGTGTGTATCAGTACTTCATTTCTTTGCTGAATAATACTCCATTGTATAGATATATGACTTATTTATCCATTCATCAGTTGATGGATATTTGGCTCGGTTCCCCTTTTTTGGCTACTAGGAATAATGTGCTATGAACATTTGTGTCGTATTTTTGTGTCAATGTGTTTTCGGTTCTCTTGGGTGTACAGATATACCTAGAACTAAAATTTCTGGGTCATATGATAACTGTGTTTAACTTTTTAAGGAACTGTAATGTATTTTCCAAAGTGGATGTGCTATTTTGTAGCACAATATATGACTATTTCAATTTTTCCATGGCCTAGTAAATTATTTTATTTATTTGAGACAGGGTCTTGCTGGCTTTGAACTTACTATGTAGGCCAGACTGGTCTTGAATTTGCAACAATCCTTCTGCCTTAGTTTCCCAAGTGCTGGGATAACAAGTGTGCACTACCATGCCCAGCTATTATTTTCTTTTTTCACTATAGCTACCCAAGTGCATATAAAGTTCTATAAAATTGTGATTTTTTTATTTGAATTGTATATATCTTCATGTGGTTACTGTTGACCATTTGGAGAATGTCTGTTCAAATCTTTTGCCCATCCCCCGTCCCCTGTACCAGGACCACGTGCTTGTGAGGAAGGTGCAGTGCCACTGAGCTAAATCCCTGGCCCCTTTTGCCCATTTTAAAATTAGGTTGTCTTTTTATTATTGTGTTACAATAGTTTTTTTTGGTACCAGGAATTGAACTCAGGCCCTTGCATTTGCAAGGCAGGTGGTGGAACGATAGTTTTTATGGAATCTGGATACTAGACCCTTGTCAGATATGTGATTTGCAAACTTTTTCTGTGTGCTATATTCACTTTCTTTATACTCTTCGAAGAACCAAAGTTTTTTTTTTTTAATATGAAGTCTAATTTAGTTTTCTTTGGTTGTGATTTAAGTGTCATAGCTATGAAAGTAGGACGTAGATATGAAAAATTCCACCTGTTAATTTCTTCTAAGACTGTCCTAATTTTGGTGCTTACATTTAGATCTTTGATACATTCTGAGTAAGTTTTGTATGGTACAAAGCAGGGAAGTTTAATCTTTTTGTGTATGTGGCTATCCAGCTGTCTCAGCTCCATCTTTTAAAAAACTCCTTTCCCCCATTGAATTCTCAGTAGTCTTGTTTAAAATCAATTATCCAGCCAGGCAATCACAAGTTTAAGGACAGCCTGAGCTACACAGTGAATTAAAGGCCAGCCTGAACTACATAGTGAGACCCTATTGCAAAAATAAATAAATTGTCCATAATGTATATTTTACTTCTGGAACTGGGGATTGAACTCAGGACCTTGTGCTTGTGAGGCAGGCACAGTGCCACTGAGCTAAATCCCTGGACCTTAAATTGCTTTCAAATAGCTTTTGAATTTATATTTAAAATGTAGGACTAGCTTTTATTCCTTCAAATTCATTTAAGGAAAAATTAATTTTTTAGGATTATTACAATGATGGTACAACTAAAACACTGCCAAATCTTTTGATCGATATATACTGACTCCAAAGCAAGAGTAGTGATTTAATGCATTTTCATTGTGTTTACTGATAAACCCTATACACACAAATTAAAATAAGATCAGGAAACAAATTAAATGTAAGACCAAGACGCAAAGTATGTGGACATATGGAAAATATAAAATATCATCTCAAGATCTGGGTTCAAGACTTGATTTTGACACACTGCTTTTGGTCTTGGATTGGTCACTTCACATTTTTTCTATAAAAACAGGATTTCTGACCTACAGCTACTTCACAGACATGTGGTGAGCCTCAAATTGAGCTAATGTGCTTATCAGTGCTTTGTATACTGCAAAATATCAGAGACGCTTACTATCTGTATAAAGCCCTAATTAACAATACTGAGTAGTGCTCTGAAGGACTGTGCTGTAGGTGCTGTAAAAAATGATCATTTCTTCCCTTGGTCTTAGGAAGATAGCCAGAGTTGTTCCTATTCCATTTTATCTTCTTTAGCCTGAGCTGTCTAAACTTTACCATTTCTAAAGATTAGTACTTAATGCAAATATCTCTTTCCCCATCATCTTCCCTTCTTTCTCTTATATCATGTGTAATACTTTACTTTTATTGCAGTAGTTAGCAAACTTCCTATACGAGGCCAGATAGCATTTAAATATTTTAGGCTTTGTGGCTTTGTAGGCAACATAGATCACTGTTACATTACCCCTCACCCCATCCCAACCCTTTAACAATGTATGTTTTTGTTTTGTTTTTCAAGACATGGTCTTGCTGCATAGTTCAGACTGGCCTTGAACTCACTATGCAGCACATGTGGCCTCCAATTTGCAGCCTTCCTCCTGCCTCAGCCTTCTAAGTGCTGGTATTATAGGCGTGGGCCCCCTTAACAATGTAAAAGCCACTCTTAAGGAGCTATATGAAAACAGGCCTGACTGATTTGGGCCTTCAGGCCTGTTACTGAGATTCTTATTCCACTGAGTTCCAACACTGTATCAAGTTTTTTTTTTTTTTGGTACCAGGGGTCGAAATTGGGTCCTTGCGCTTTAGACACAGGCAGTGGAACCACTGAGCTAAATCTCTGGCCCTATCAAATTTTAATTATAGCTAGTTATAACAACTTAAACAAAAAAGAGTACAGGGTTGACCAAAGAAATGTATGTTAATTTTTCTCCCAAGTGCAAAACAGGATTTTAAAGTGAAACAGTCTGAGTCAGTTTGTTTATGATTATGTTTAGCTTCTGAATGAAACCAGCCTTTTTAGAGAGGGATAGAGATACTGCCTCTCTTCTCATCCTCGCAGATAGTGTTTGAATAACTGGGTGATTGTGTTACAATTCACAGTTGATAAAGGATCTGAAAATTTAGACAGGTGAGTTTTGCAAAAATCCAGAACACAAGTAATGACTGCTGAATCAAAGCAATTCCTGAGTAGGAAGCAATTTTTCTAAATGAATCACTTCACTAGACTGGGGATGAATGCCCCCCCCAGCTTATTTTTATTTCTGTGGCTTGAACAAGGTTGCTATAATGTCAAGGGCATAGGAAATACAAACTCTTCATACTTTGGTGTTAGTGATACAAATTGGTACTTCCTCTTTGAAAGGTGATTTGGCAGCATCTATTAAACTAAAAAATGTATCTACCCTTTGACACAGTTGTTTCTGGAAATTTACCCAATACGAGTCATACTGGCAAATATCTAGTTACTGCAGCATTGTTCACAGAGGCAAAATGTTGGAAATAACCTAAAAGCCCATCAGTACAGCTCTGCTTTAAAATTAAGATACACATACACAACAAAATATTATATAGCCTTTTCAAGGAATGAGAATTATTTATAACTATTGGTATGGGACAATCTCCAGGATATATATCATAAAGCAAGTTATAGTACAATGTGTCTTGTATGCTACTATACGTGTAAAAAAAAAAAAAAAAGCTGGGCATGGTGGTGCCGGCATTCCTGTAAGTCTCAGCACTCTGGAAGAAGGCTAACGCAGGAGTTCAAGGCCGGCCCAGGCTGTGAATTCAAGGCCAGCAAGACCCTGTCTCAAAAAAGAATGTTACTGGAAGGATATTAGAAGCATTCAACACTATCTGTTGATGCCAGTTGTGGTGCATGCCTGTAATCCCAGCATTTGGAAGGCTGAGGCAGGAGGATCACTGAAATTTGAAGTCAGCCTGGGCTCCATAGTAAGTTGAAGGCCAGACTGAACTACACAGTGAGACCCCCTCTCTCTCTCACACACACAAACAAAACTGTTGAACACTGTTCTAAGAGCTTTCATAAACTAAGACAATAACAACAATTTTATCAAGGTAGGTGATATTATTCTCACTTTATAGATTAGGTAACTTCTACAAAACCACAAAAATCTGGTAACAGTGGTTACTTCTACAACAGACCGTAAGACTAAAGTTCAGAGTAGAAAGACTTATTTTCATTGTATATCATTTTCAGCTCTATGTGCTTTGCCATGTTTATACATTGCTTCAAAAATTTAAAAGTTAAATCACCATAAACATATTTTGTTTATCCATGCATCCCCATGATGAACAGTTGGATTGCTTCTACCTTTTGGCTAGCGACTATGAACATTTACAAACATACTTAAAGGTAGAGGAAATAGTACAATAATAGCCATCATCTGGTTTAACAATTATCAAGATCTTTGCTGCCATTTTACAGTATGCATTTCTTAAAATAACAGGGTATTTTCTTAGACAATGACAAAATAATAATTTTGGGGTTATTTCCCACTCCATGATAAAATTTCCTCAATTATTCCCCCAAACGTTGTATAATTGGTTTGCTTGAAACCATTATCTAAACAAGGTCTATGTACATTACATTTGGTTTCTTACCTCTAGGCTGTTAAAATTGGAGCGGTCTGCCCTCTTTTTTTTTGTTATGTTCGTGCTGCACAATAACTCGATTTATATATGGAGTATTTACTGAAAAAAAAATTTTCCTCACGTTTTAAAGCAACCAAATACTGTGTACTGAGTTGCAAGAACCTGGTTTTATTTCAAAACGCTGCAAAATGGAATCCGTACAGTATTCATAACAACCTCTCATCGTAACAGGTGGCTCCGTACCTGTCATGTGAAAGCCCACAGACAATCAAGCAAACACAGTATTAGCCTCGGCAGACGCAGCCTCTACAGCAGGGGGCAGGATTACCTTCTCCTGGAAGCGGAATCCAGAAAGCCCCTGCCAACGCAAGCCGAGCAAATGGTTTTCAAGTTAAAAACAAAGACAAATGAAAAATTTCCTCTGAATATAGTGATACATAAGGGAAACAGCCAGAGAATATGGTGCTGAGGAAACATATTATTGAATTTACATACAAAGGCCCAAGAGATTGTGATGGAAAGGGTAATCAAGACCGGGTTTAACACCGGGGCAGAAGAATGGGCATCAGCAGATGGAAACGGAGAGACGGGCGGCTGGAGAGTCGCATAAACAGGGCTGCTCTGCCAAGGAGGGAGCGGAACCCGTTCGTCTCTCTACGAGGGGACGAAAACCCGGACGAAGGTGAAACCCGCCGAGGGCGAAGGGAGAGGCGAGACAGGGAGTGGGGCAAATCTCAGCGAGGAACTCCGGAAGTTTCCCCTCGGGCTGGGACAATCCGGGACAAAGGTACTAGGTACGGACTCGGAGAACAGGATACCGCCAACCGCTCCACCGGACCCAGGGTAAAATCCAGGGCGCGCCCCTGCAGGTGACTCACAAGCATCACGGATGCGAAGCACAACGAAACCTCCGCCGCGGAAAATAGTCCCCCGGCCGCTTCGACTCCAAAGGGAGCGGAGCGTGGGAGGCGCCAAGAGATCGGAGCGTGGGTTCCGGAGAGGCGGGTGCGCAGCCAATCCCTGCAAAGGAGGGAGTGGCTAACGACCCGTGGATCCTTCCGCTCGCGCTGGCTGTGCTGAGGCTGGGGAAACCGCCATTTTGGATGCTGAGCGGTGTCACGGAAGTCAGTCTTGGAGGTTTTCACGCCTGAGTTCGGTCAGGTGAGTGTGGCTTCCTTAGCGTCAAGGGTTTTTTTCTTCTTAGTCTTCGTTCTGCACCCAGAGTTTGGCAGCCCCAGTCAATGTTGGGGCCCCGGGTTTGAACGACCCTAGGGGTGCAAAGGAGGAGAAAAGGAAGTCTTGGAAGTGGGAGTCTGGCTGGAGGTCGGGCCCTCGGGGGCAGCGGCGCCGAAGGGGACCCGGGCGGGGTGGGGGCGTGGCGAGGCCGCTGGTCCCCGACCTAAGCAGTGAAACTTTACTGTGGTCCTTCCTGCCCGAGCTGTCGCTACCTTGGGGCGCAAACTCCACGGCCCGGGCCTGGGGTCGGGCCCTTCGGCGTCACCCCGCCCGGTCTTCTGGGCCCAGAAACATTTCAGTGTGTCAGTGCCTCCACGGCTGATCGCCTCCGCGCCCAGGCTGCCTGTGCCGGGCACGGTGGTCTCCTGAATTTATTCCTGGGAGACTCAAATGGGCCTCCCATCTTTAGCCGGAGAAATCACCTTTTCTCGCGGAAACAGGGAGCGGCTTCTGCCCTCGTCGCAGACATCTGAGGACGAGAGACCTGGAGAGGAGCCTGCGGCCCGCCCGTGGTTGCCCCTCTGCTCTTTGTGTTCTCAGCGTGTGTCTTCCGGGGTGAGGTCTTGAAACTCGCCAGCATAAGTTTAAAAGAAGGCCCGACCCGAGAGCTTTCCTTTAATAGTTGGGTGCATAATAGGACTGTAGGATAATCGGGAAGACACAGTCACTTTCTCTGCGCGCAGAAGCGGAAAAAGTGTGGTTTTAAAGGCTCTTTGGGGAGGGGCTTGTAATTTTTTGTTGTTGTGATGCTTATGTAAAAAAAATTTTTTTTTTTTGGTACCGGGGATCGAACTCGGTTCCTTGGCGCTTGCGAGGCAGGCGGTGGAACCGCTGAGCTAAATCTCCGGCCCTTACGTAATTATTTTTAACTTTTTGTTTTGGAAAACAAACGAAAGTAAAGTGTAGGTAATTACCTCTTCAATTTTTTTTTTCTGTTGACTACACAGCCCAGGCTCAAGTCTGGTGTTTGTTGAGTTTATTGGTCCTTTTTAGGTATACAGTACAGTTACATTGGGATCTTGTACCTTTACACGATATGTCTTGGTTCTTATTTTTTCCCCTTACCCCTGCCGTCCCATTACCCCTCCTCCCTTCCTATTTACAAAAACTTTGTTGCCATTTTTTCCTTTTCTCATATTTTTTCTTTTCCCTTCTTTCCTTTCCCCTACCCTTCTCACTTCCCCTACTCCTTTAGCCCTTTTCTTCCTATTTCACATTATCAGTTATATAATTTGAACCTTATTTACACTTTTAGTTTTTCATACCAGAGAAACTATTCATAACTTCTTAAGTTTAAAAAAATCAACTTGTAGCCGATCATGTGTCCTCTGTACTTTCATTTTTTAAACTTTATAAATAATACATTCATTTACCAGCAACTTCTGAGTCATATCTAGGATAGGAAGATTTGGTAATAATCATTAAAAGTTTAGAATTTTTTGAAGAGCTGGGGGATGTATCTCAGTGGTGGCTGCACCTTCCTGGCTGGCACAAAGTCCTGAGTTTGATCCCGGGTGGGTGGGGAGAATGTTTTGAAACTCCAATATTAGTACTACATTTTTAAGTCAGCTTCTTAAAACTTACATAAAAGGTAAAAAAAAAAAAAAAAAAAAAAAAAAAAAACTTCCATAAAAGGTGTTATTAAGCCCTGTGGAGGGGTGGATGGCTGTAATCCCAGCACTTGGAAGGCTGAGGCAGGAGGATGCCAGGTTTGAAGCCAGCCTGTATTTCACAAAAGCTTGGCCCAGAAAACCAAAAGAGGTGTTATTGTCCAAATTATTTTTCATTTTGTGTCTTTCTTGTGCCTCTGGTTTTTATAAGATCTGAATCTTCAGAATTCTCAACTCTAGGCCACTTAATTTCTCATTCTTGTAAAATAACCAGAGTCTCAATTACATGGAGCCTATTCTGATGTTAAAAGAAAACTAGAAAACAAGCTAGATGTGGTGGCTCATGCTCATAATCCCACTACTTGGGAGGCTGGGGCAGGATGATCTCTTGTGAGTTCAAGGCCAGCCTAGACCCTGTCTCAAAAAACCAAAACAAACAATAAAGAAATCCCTAGAGGGCTGGGGATTTAGCTCAGTGGTTTCCGGTGCCTGCCTCACAAGTACAAGGGCCTGAGTTCCATCCCCGGGACCAAAAAAAAAGAAAAGCAATCCCTAAAAAATAAATGTAGTCTAAATAATTTTAAATACATGAAAAGTAAAATGCATTTATTTCAGCACTATTAATATGTGTCAAAAAGAATTAATAAAAGAGAATTGTTACGCAGTAGGATATTAGGCAGCCACTAAAATCAAGTTTAAAGTAAGTATACCCAGTCGATTTTTTGCAATGTATTTATAGTTTATTGGGAAGCAAGATAAAGACATTTTCATAATACTTACAGATTCCAGTGTTTATGACTTCTTCCAAAAAACTTTGTTGGCCTCTGAATTCTGAAGCCATCCCTTCTCTTTTTCCCTCCCTCCCTCTTTTTGTCCCTCTGTTAGTAATTAAACCCAGTATCTTTCTACTAAGGTACATCCCATCCCCTTTATTTATTTTTTGTTTTGTTTTGTTTTTTTGAGACAGGGTCTTGCTATGTTGTTGAGACTGACCTGGAACTCACTATGTAGCTCAGGCTGGTCTTGAACTCACAGCAATCCTCCTGCCTCAGCCTCCGGAGTGCTGGGATTATAGGCGTGCACCACCACACCTGGCCCGCTTTTTTATTTTGAGACAGGGTCTGTCTTAGTTACTTTCTTGTTGCTGGAACACAGTACCCAATGCCTACAATTTAAAAGAAGAGAGTTTTTATTTTGACTCAGTTTGTAGTCCATAGTCATGTGGCTCCAAGGCTGGGTGGCATGACAGGAAAAACAGCTCCTGGTATGGCAGACAGGAAGCAGAGAGATCAAGGGAGGAGAAAGGGAGATAGACTTTTCCAGGCCACACCCCCAGTGACCTACCTTCTCCAGCCAGGCTTCCTCCCAACATTACATTTAGCTATAAATTAATCAGTGAGGTAATCCACTGATTCGTGTCACACCCACATGATCCAATCACCTCCCCAAGTCCCCACTTAGGAGCATATGAAGCTTTGGGGTGACATGTAGATAGAAAACATAAGAAGGTCTCACTAAATCATTAGGATGCCTATGCTTGGTCCAAACTTGTGATCCTCCTGCCTCAGCCTTTCAGAGTGGTAGGATTACAGATGTGTGCCCCAGATGGGGTTTAAAAAGCCTATACTTTCTCATGAATTACATATGATGCTGGTGGTATTGTTCTTTATTGTACTAAAATTTTGATCTTGATTAATTTGCTCAGGAAAGCCTTGAATACAGTTTTAAAAATACAGTAAACTTCCTGGCAACTTGTACAGGGAAATGTTTTAGGGAATTGAACTATGTAAGAGATATTCAGAAAAATGACAAAAGTTTTCGTATATATTGCAAAGTGCCTCTCTAGCCATTACTGACTCTGTTTTCTCCCTTTTCTCTTCATACTTTTGAAGATACAGACCTTGAAGTTGGGGAAAATTTTTTTTCTGTTAGTGGGATTTGAACCCAAGGCCTCACACTTACTGTAATCTTCAGCTTGACAGTTTGGGCTTGTGTGCGATTGATTGATTGATTGATTGATTTAGAGACAATCTCTCTTTAGGTAGTTCACTGTGTAGCCCAGACCAGTCTTGAATTTGTGGTGATCCTCCTGCTTCAGCCTTCCAAGTGATGGGATTACAGAAGTGTATGTACCACCACTCCTGGCCCAGCTTTTTTAAAATTGAGTTTGAGAAAGGGTCTCACTGAGTTGCCCAGGATTTCCTTCAACTTGTCGTCCTGTTTGGAATAACAGGGCCCTCTTTGTAGCTACTTTAATAGACCTTTCAAGATCACTATCACTAGGCCTTTGGATTGTTTTGGGTTGCAGTTATAAACTTCCTTTTCTTTCCTTAGATAATTTGAGAAAGGACTCAGATTGGCTTTACACCTCCTGTTTGATTATCTAGGTTCCAAAGGCCCCAGGATAGAATGATGAGAGGGGCTAGATGAATTTGTTGTGCCAGAGTTAAGAATTGGAGTAAAATGAGGGAAATCGCCAAGAATGCCATCCTCATGAGGCTGCTGACCTATGTGAGAGACTCATAAAAATATACTGGATCTTAGCCAAAAGGCTGAGAAGCAGTAGACTCATAAAAATTGTATTACACTAATAAATAGTATATTTTAGCATATAAGCAACATAGAATACTGAGAACTAGGATCACAGATGCTAGTTAATAGTCCTTTTTTTTTAAATTGGGCCGGGGATTTATCTCAGTGGTTCTGCTGCCTGCTTCACAAGCACAAGGTTTCAAGTTCAATTCCCTGTACCCCCCCAATCCTATATTTTAGTTAAATATCCTCCTGTTATAAATTAACTAACATAAAAATATGAATTAGAATTTTTCTAGGCACTATGGAAATAATGTTGTGGAAGGAAATTGGAAGTAAATGGCAAGCAGAGACACAGAATGGAAGTAAAATAACAAAAAGTTTATTTCGCTAGCAAAAGACCAATAGCACCATCAAGATCTGGGTTGGAGATTGACCCCCCCACTGGGTTACAGCTCCTTCTTTTATAGGGTTTTACAGTCATGCCCTCATTCAGGTGGTTACATTTCATTCTCTCAGTTTGAATTACTGGTATACAAATCATGGTCACAAGACAGTTAACTTTAACCCAGATGTAGCAATTCATTGTAGTTGGGGAGTTTACCTTTAAAATTTGTCTAGCTGTGTATTCTAGCTGAAGGAATTGGTTATTCAAGGTCAGGAAAGCAAAGTTAAGCAATTGTTCTTTTCATCGTGACACTTTTACAATCATGTGGCTCCCAAAACTTTGTAGCCCAGAGTCTTGATGTGCCCTGTCATCTCAGGACAAGGCCAGATAGCCCA